CGCATGCGTGGCGCCGTCAACAAAAAGAAAAAGAAAAGGGCACCGAAACAGTTACAGCTTGCCTATGTCCTAAACCAATTCAAAATTGAAATCACCACATCCGCACGCGAAGAGGACGACGCGGGAAAAGAAAGTCCTACGCCTATTTGTATCCTTACAAAATTCCGAGAGTTTTCCCCAACGCGACCGAGAACATTCACACACAAAAAGGACACGTCGAAGTTCCGCTTATCCCGGAATTCGCAACTGCCGGGCCCAATTCCCAGTGCGCTCGCTAAGGCGCGCGTAAATTCCTATGTATTTCCCGAATTGCAAAAGAAAAAGCAGAACCGAAGAATCACAAAAGCTTCCGGAAGATGGGGGCCCAAAACGCGGCGCCCAAAATCAAGAAAACAAACGGGGTGCTTTTAGGGTCGGTATGATACAAGAAAAAATTCAAACCAAAGGGGTACGAAAGATGGCACGGGTTCGGGAAGTAGTTCGTCACAGGCCCAGCGTCCCATAGAAACTTGACTGAGATACGAACACGGTCCGGTCCGACCAATCGAGTATTAGATTGGAATCTAGATCGTGTTGATTGTTCGAGACCTCACTCAGTGTCGGAACAGAACGGTTTTAGGCTGATCCCCTTAAGGGTCCGCACAGGACAATTCTTACTACGGGATCTCTGAATTCTCCTTGGTATGGTACCACCGTGGAGTTATTTCCCCAGTTCCCACGATCTCGAATTTAATTGAATTGTCTCCTGAAGGCTTAGGTCCTTGCGTGAGTACCTTCTCAGGCAATCTAGTGCCGCGTGGATTCTCAAGTCTCGGGCTCGCTACTGACATCGAGCACGAATTCAGCCGTGGCTTACTGTCCACGTATACGCCCGCCGCCTGCTTCAGACGTGGACAGTAACGTATGCTTAGAATATATGCTCAGAAAAGCATCAGAAGACAGTGCAATGTGTGCGATGGATTTCGTGAGAACTGAACTGAGAACATACAAGAAACAGTCTGATAAACCTAAAACAGGAAGCAAGAAGACGAAAACCCCCAACAATCCGGCTCTTTCCCCGCACCACGGAGAAAAGACTGCTGCCCAGGCATTCAATCCTCGTACCAGCACTCGCTAGATCTCAGACCCCCCTTGCTAGAGTGATAGGGCAACGCCCACTGCACCAGTACAGACCGAGCTAGTTCTGACGGACAGGAGGTGTCTTCCTCCCTCGACAACTTCCTTAGCTGCAAAGCCCGCGAAGGTTACAGGGTCACTGCCCCAGCATCAGCTACGTTGAAACAGGGCCCCCAAAGGTTACAGGGTCACTGCCCCGGCATCAGCTACGTTGAAACAGGATGGTTATGCCTTCCAACTTTGGCATAACTACAATAGTCTCGAGCTCCCCCTGGTTACAGAGCAACTGCTCCAGCACAGACCATTGTCGGCCCACCCCGCCCTTCTAATTAGACCTACCACTGCCCGAGCACCACCACAGCACTCCCTAGGACCAACCCTTCCCCTTCCTGCTTGGTTGGCACCAAGAGTGCTACAGGAATTAAACCACGACCTGCTGAATGCCACTTGGGTGCCTAACCAATTGAGCTAGGCGGCTGGATTTATGAAAGATTTGAGAGAATAATATAGCGTCGTTTTATAAACTGAAAAAAAAAAGAAAAAAAAAAGGAACCCACGTAGTTTTTCTATTCCTTCTTTTTTTTTTCTGGATTAGTTTTGTTGATAACCGTAGCAGCTACATATGTTTAC